ACTGCGGCTGTTACGACTAATTTTCACTCTGAACATCCTCAGCCCTGCAGCCAACTTTCAAACTGAACGACTTCTCCCTCTGACAAGTATCCGCAATTGCTTCATAACACATTTTCAGTCATCCCTTATATGGGGAAGAACCGTGACAGCTCAGTAAAATGGCCAGCTTGAAAATGGACGACAGGAGTTCGGTTCTTGGAATGGTCTGATTCTTTTCTTTGTCTCATCATTTCCATACTAAATCTGAAACCCAGCCAGCCTCCAATGCAAAGGATAGAGAGGGCTGTTTCCACAGGGTAAAGGGGCCATAGTGAAGATTTATTTCTTGATGATGTGCCTTGCAACGGAGATGCAGGGTCCACTTTATGTGGAATCATAAACCGTACTGATGCTAAGGTCCTTTAAATACATACATATCATCTACAGCTGCACTATTTGAGGCTTAAAGAAGCAGCAGTGCCATTCAATTTGCAAAAATTCTTCTTTTTATATCCTGTTGTCTCTGGTATGAGTACAGATCCATATTAACTGACCAGTCAGTTTACGTACCATCGATAGCACGGGAAATCAAACCAGGTCAACTGATGAACAGTTTATAAATTGACCTCTTCCATCAGAATGGGTCAAATAAGAGGTCAGCACACCAAGACATACCTCAGACCACACCATCATCAATATGCTGCAATGGCAAACCTCTGCCGCTTGTCATGTGATGTGCTGAATGGTGACTGACACTTCAGTGAATGAACCACATGAAGCAGCAAGGCAGGTTAGCTCAACGATAACTTCTGTGGCCTTCATTTTGGAAATACCAGGTTTGAAAATCTACTGGGGCACTAGCTATCCTGACAGAGGGCTTTCTTTGTAAATTTCCTCTTCAATTCAATTAATTTCAAATTCACAAAAATAGATCCAGATACAGGCTGGGAAACAACCATTGGATATAGCATGGGGCATATATAAACATTAACAAACCAAAAATATACTTGGACAGTAAAAGGCGCATGGGATTCCTCCAATTTCCTGAGTATTAGATAATTATCATTCATCATCTACTACTACTGCTACTACTACTACTACTACTGATGCTGCTACTACTACTACTACTACTACTGCTACTACTATGTTAACAAATTAAAATTAAATTTATAATGAAATAAGAAGCAGATTAAATTTGGCAAATAACTGCTATCCTTATGTTCTGAACATTTTAGCATTCCGTCCACCCCATCTAAAACATGTAGATTAAACCACACAAAACTATACTTTTACATTTTGTTTTATTCATTCATTCATCAGTAATCTGTCAGATGACAGGTCCACAGTCTCTTCCAAAACAGTTCCTCCACTTAATGCAATCACAAGCTTTCTCTTCAAATAAAAATATCCTCTTCTGTCCCCAAGGTCATCCAGCATCTTCTCACGTCTTCTTCATCTTCTGGTCACTTCTATCCGCCCTCCGGTTTGTTTTGTTTCCAGAGGAAACATCTCGCATATATGGTATCTCTGTTTTTGGAAAGAGACTATCCAGGAAAAGTGACAATGTGGTAGTTTTTCCATTTGCTTTCCACATCTCAGTACAACAGCCGTTCAAACCACTCTGGTCACGCCTGTTGCTATACGAACTTGAACCATCTCGAGCATCATTTGCTCTGTGCTCCAAGTCGCTGCTGATGACGCTGCTTCCGGCATCAGGTTTTGGTTTTTGGTGTCTCTCTTCATCTGATGCCTACCCTTTGACCTGTCCAGCAAGGGAGGCCCTGCCAGTAGCTAGGCTACCGCTGGTATAGCTCTCAGGATCCTTTGCATACTCAAACCCCCTCACCACGATAAGGTGGAGACACCAACGAGGGGGGTTGTTTTATATAAGTATGAAATTTGTTCTGCACATATATTCATGCTGAAGGCTACCATCTTTGCAGTCTCTTAAGGCAGGCACAATATGAACAGGGGAGGGTATTCTCCAACCACATTACTTTTAACATTATAAACATATAGCTGTCATATGCTGTACACAAGTTGTTCCATCGATGTCCTGGGTATTAAGTGTGCAGGCATCTATGACCTGTTTGTTGTCTTGGTAGTGTTTGTAAGTAATAATTGATGTAATGTCCCAATAAATAATCTGCTTTTAGATATTAGACCAATGTTTAAGATACTGTATTGTGGAGATGAATTATGGATGTATTTATATTCGTATCTTCTTGCTGGCAGAAAGGGGCTGATAGCGAGCACCAGTACCAGTAAGGTATGGAGACAGCAGAAATTAAAGGGGGACGCACAATGGACCAATAACTGGTCTAAGTGCATGGGGAAACCCACCCCCTCAATACTGAATACTGAATATTCAACAGTTCTGTCAGTATCGAAGTTATATACTGTTGATGACGACAGGATCATTAATGAATGTGGAGCAACTGGTAGAATGAGAACTGTCAGATGAAACAAAAGTACTGAGGGAAAATCGGCCCTAGTGCCACTTTGTACAACAAAAATTCTGCATGATCTCACCTGGAACTGAAACTGGTGACTACCCACCTGGGTTATGGCACAGCCACAAAGCAGGACACCACTCGATCTCAATTCAGTTCCACATGCTCAAGTTAGTTGTGTCCTTTTAAAGGCAGTCGCATTGCATATTAACAAGTCAAAAGACGATTCATAAGTATCATAACATAAATATTATCAGATTTTGGCATTTTTCTTCATCTTGGAAACTATACATACAAAAGTTCAACACAGATTAAGAATATGTATTCATATCAGCCAAACAGGTGATGGATGTTTCACGTTTGACATAGGCTTTTTATAAACTCCTTAAGGTCATCAGTAGATAGCAAATTTCCATTCAATAGAGAAGGGAAACAAGTTTAAACATATTCAACATCGCCATTTATTTTCTAAAAGAAAGTAGGACAAAGCAGTTTCTTGCAATGATAATATGCTTGTCTGTTTCACTTACGTGTCTACTGGAGATATCTGTGCATGAGTTCCCAGTGTGTGAGATTACGTGCTATCACGAGCCAGACACTAATTTCCACACTCCTGTTTTTCACTGGCTGGTTATAAAGGTCAGTAGTTCTGCCATTCAGGTCTATTTGCAGCAGCCACAGCTGAAGCTCGAACCCAGTGCCTGTGAGCTCAGACACATTTCAGTTTGTTGTAATTACCACCATTCATATGTGAAGAGTTATTTCAGTGAATAAGTGTGCAGTGACTGTCAACTTCATCTCCCAAGTCAGTAGGTTACAATTTGATTACCAGCAGAGGGACACCTTTTCTTTTCTTGCTGGTTTGTCTTTTGTTATATGTTTCAGTAACATTCACAGTTACTTCCATGATATTAATGATGAAACTGTGTGGGTTCTCAGATTTGAAAGGATGTTTATTGGGCAGTCATTTCTACACTCACACTTACAATTATTCTCAACTTATGAAGTCATCAGACATTTCTCCTTCAATGTTACAACACTCTCGCACCACTATTTTCGGTGAAGTGTCTTCTGCTCTATTCGGATGAGAACTCTTCTGTTCACTTGCAGAACACCACCTCTTCTGTTCTCTTGCTGAACACTAACTCTTGTGTTCTCTTGCTGAACACCAACTCTTCTGTTCTCTTGCTGAACACCAACTCTTCTGTTCTCTTGCTGAACACTAACTCTTGTGTTCTCTTGCTGAACACCAACTCTTCTGTTCACTTGCTGACGTTGGACTGTTATAACTGGCCCTGGGACTGAATAGGGAAAACCTTGTCGAAGGGTTAATTCCGCCCGCTGTTACGCAACAAACAATTCATTGCTTGGATACTGCTAGCCGTTGTATAGCAATGGATGCGTTCTGATTCCTAGCTGTTGTAGTTGGAACGTTGCTTGTTGCCTAGGAAATCAACCCTGATCTCCTCAACTATTCTGGCTTTCTGGTGGCATGCCACAATATGTTCATTTTCCATCATCACCATCAACTTCAATGTATGAACCCATTTGCCTGTTCCATTACTACTGGAATTACTGTTTATCTCTCCCTTGCATTCTAGATCTTCCTGCATTTTGTCTACCTTGTGGAGCATATTGAATTTCTTTTATTGAAACGTGATTTTATTCCATTCTATCCAGATCCAGCAAATGTATTTAGTCTGTGATTTTGGAATGTTTCATTCATACTCTACACCCCTATTCCTCTTCATCATTGCTTCTGTCTTGTTCTCAACGTGATATTCCTGTTACAGATTTCTTCTTCCCGTTCCCAAGGCACAATTTTCTGACCTGTGTGCCAACACTGGCTTGTCATTGTTTTATAGAATTCCTTAAGGTCATCAGTAGATGACAAAAATCAATTCATCACAGAAGAGAAACAGGTTTCAACATATTCAACATCTGTTTCATATTGGTGTGAAACTTAGTCTCTCATCCTAAGAGATGAATACTGCCTTAGGGTGAGACATGAGGTTCTCACATCAATAACGTGATTCCACATAGTTCAGTACACTGATACCAACATTTCAGAAGAACCTTCTGCCTGTGTCCTCACAGAACTCGGAAAATGGAGGCAGAAAGTTAGTTTTAAATGTTGGTACCCATGTACCCAACTGCACGACATCATATCCTACAAGACTACCTTGATAGACAGAGGGAGTTTCCGAGCAGGCTCGTGAAAAGAATATTTTGACCTACGAGGGGGACAGCGAGTCATATTTCACTCACTAGTTTTCTAAAAATGTCAGGCATATCCAAAGCAGAACCCTAAGCAAGGTACAGTGGAACTCTACTTAATATAAAATACAAATTCCAATAATCTAATTGTTAAACTGTCTCCTCAGTTCCACATTCAAATGAAACATTCTCAAAACAAACTTTAATTGGGTTTTAATTCACCTTCTTCATAGTATGGAAATGGCTAATAGACCGTTAAGACTCAATTTCACCGCAACAACAAATGTCAGTTTATTTGCTTCATATGTGCAACTGAATGTCTTTTGTCATTCTGACTTACTAATCTTGCAGGAAACATAGCTGGTCAAGTCTGTAAAGGCAGAGAGGAAAGCTATGGTGACATCAATATGGAAGAGAGAGTTTCACTCCAAATTAATTCAATTAGAGTACAACAAGCCAGAAGAATTTGTAAGGTGTCAGGTGAGTTGGCCCTGATGTCTATAGATATAGAATCACCTATAGAAAAAAAATGTTCTGACAGCATTCATAAAGTACAACAAGGTATTTATGGCCAATCAGCCACAGAGACATGGAGTTAATTTTTAACCTGCTCTCCTTATTTCAAAAAAATAAAAGCACGCTTATAAAATCACCTCTCTGTCTGTGTGTGAGTGTGTATACCGCCTAACAACTTCTGAATGCCTGAACCAATCTTTATGAAACTTGGTATGTATATCATGGCAACTGAGCCCATCTCAATGGTGCACTTCATACATTCCTCCCATCAGTCTGTGTGCCTGTATGTGTGTATGTGTATGTGTTCCTACAGCAACAAATACACATAACTTTAGAAAAACTGTTGAATGCATCATTTCCTATGCTGTCTGTGTTGTATCAAAAGAGGGTCTGTCGGTCTATCTGTTTATCCCCCTACTCTTGGTAGGTAACGGAATAGAATCTGTGACCTTCCAGCTCATAGTACAGTGCCTCAACCAACTATGCTACCATGTGACCCCAAGGAAATCCTATAAAATTTTGGAATCTTTCTGTTCTTTTTAATACATAAAACACAGATGGCATGGAGATCACATAAGCCTACTTCAGGAAAGTAGGCTAGCAAGAGAACTGGACATAAACTTGGAAGGGTAATGATGATGATAGCACATACAATGCATTCATAATTTTCCGTTTTCAGTGGCAGAGAAGACTGAGCGTCCATCCAGTCTATTTAACTTACCGGTGGTTCACAGCAATCCTCTTTTTGGCCACAATGATCTTCTCTATCTGTGATCCAGGCCGAAGCAATAAGAATCCAGGTTCATGGTACATTAGCAGGTGGCCCATATACCTCACCCACTGGGGGTATACTGTGTGCACAACACAAGCTCTACTTGGGGCATGGCTTCTCAGTTACAAGCTGATTGCAGAACGGAAGCCAGGTAAGAGTCACAACAGATCTGAAACAATAAACAACAAATCACCAATTTTAAACAGCAACATTTTCCATGATATGTGCATGTTTGCAGTTTATTAAATGATGCTGTCTGTAACTCACACTACATAGCAACAAATGATAGGACAGTCAATTAATAACAGATTGCAAAGGACTTGCCAGCATTTGCGTGGAAAGACTGAGAAATGCCATGAAAACCCTCAGACGGGGAAGCTGAAATCCCAGCAGAGCAACTCCAAAATACACATTGGAACCATTACCTCATGAGCTAACTTGATTGGTTCATGATGTGTATTGTAACTTACTTCAATAATGAAAGTGTTACATCTCATCTTAAAATAATCTGAATGTTATTTTGTTCGATATAGCTAAGTCACTATAGTGACTGGCATATGAGGAATCAGGGTTCAATTCCCAGCAGTGGCAAAAGATTTCTCTTTTTTCCACAATGTTCAGACCAGCTCCAAGGCCCACCCACCTCCCTATCCAATAGATACTATGGGCTCTTGTTCCAAGAGTAAAGCAGCCAGGGAGGAGGTTGAAGCTTAATTAATTAATCACAGGCACCATTAATGTGAACAAATGGTCATACTGATTACATATCAAGAGTTATGCATTTTTATCTATTATCATTTCACAATTTTATGTATCAAAATGAATGTTAAAGAAAGAGGATGTGAGGGTATGGACTGGATTCATCTGGTTTATGATAGGTATTGGTGGAGGAATCTTATAAACATGGTAATGAACTGTTTAGTTCCATAAAATGTTGAGAAACTGCTGATTAGTTGAGCAACTAGAGGCTTCCAATAAAGACTCAGCTCCATGCATTTAGTTACTTAAAGTTACCACAGATACCATATCCAGAAGTCAACAAATGTCAGTTCAGTTGACAAGTCAGACAAAATTCCTACTTGCCAGACATTTCTCCACAAAACAAATGCATCTACCCACGCCATCCAAATTGCTGTGCACCAGCCTACTTACTGTGACCCATCAGAAGACATTTAAATAATGTCCCTTATATTAAGTAGCATATATACAAAATATCATTTAATGTTCAAATTCACTCTTCAACGTCTATGAAGAAATCATTAAAGAGACAGAAAGGAGATAATACACAACAAATTCTATGATCCTTCTGCTTATAAGCTTTGGTTTTTCACTTGTCACAGATGAGCAGACAAATGGATTTATTAAACCACGACAATATACACAAAAAAGAGGATGTTTCTTAAAAAGAAGTTGGCAACTGAGTTAAAATATTGTGTTACACCCCACACTATAAAGAAGTTGAGGTGATGAATCATGTGATAGAATCTGTAAGAAAATTAAGGTCTTTTAAGCAATTATTATACTTCTCACAAATGTTTCCAAAGTTCTAATAGCTTCTGGGAGAATTCACATTACCATCAGCTACAATTTGATCTAAAATTTATATTTCATACATAACAAAGTATAACAATTAAAGATAAGACAAAGTGCAAGAAGACAGGACCCCTTAAAGAGAGAGGAAGGCACAGGTGTAGATGGTAACACAATTGCAATACATGGGCATCAGAATGAGCTTTGCTTGTGGAGGAAGAAGGAAAAATTGTGAGGTTTCCATGACAGAGAATATTAAGATTATGATGAAGCTGTGTGGTATGGTAAATAAGTACCAACGTTTTGGAGGAACCTACAGCCTCCATTTTCAGTGCAGAAGATGGAGACAACATGTTCTTCCAAAACACTAGAACCTGCTTACCACACTATATGATGTCACATTACAAAAGACACATAATCTATAAATAATATATAGCAGACAACATGAGGTTTTCTTCTGTCTATCACTTCTTTACTGCCACTGGTAGTTTAATTACTGGTGCTGAATCATGTCTTTTCTTGCAGATTTCAGAACAAATGATTCTGAGATGCCCTTCAGTTATAAAGTTTACTGGGCTCTAAACACAACAGGCATTGTTTTGGCCCTTGACATCACAGTTGGATATTGGTTCACAGTATATGATCCAGGCGAGTACATTCAGAAAAGAGGAGCTATAAAATAACATTTTCTACCTCACTGATACATTAAGTCAGCAATTACATTGTACAGCACAAAATAATACGATTTCAATGATTGCTTGTTCAGGTTACAGAAATGTTGTTGGAAATGTTCTATCATCTACTGTTTTCTTTGATTAGCAACATTTACAGTTGCTTTGAAAAATATGAAAAATTTAATAATCTCTCAATGATTGGGATTGGAGAGTGACAAGTGTGCAGCTGTAGGTTAATTAATGCCTAATGTCCCTCTGCCATTGATCAGGAGATTGCCATGCCATGTACTGATCAGATGAAAAAGAGCAACAGCCTATCCAGCAGACTAATTTATGGTTTTGTTGAGTTTTGACCCTTATCCATGAAAATGGTGGGTGACAAAACATTTTTAAGCTCAAACTGAAATTTAGCACATTTAAATTTTAAAAGAATCACATAACTTTCTTTAGAAGAGAGAAAAAACTATTTGTTTTGTCATACAGTGTTGTCAATAACACAGCCACCAGCTTTACCTGTGAAGAATAAAAAATAAATTATTTTAGACTTTGATTTGTTTCATTCTGGTCCGTGACACTAATATTATGAAAAAGTTAAATAGTTCCATCCAGTGTGACTGGTTAAGGTTTTCTTATTTCAGATATTCATGCCCCTACATGTTTCGGTCTTCAGAGAGACATCTTTACATCAATACAGTTAGAAGCCACCATTACAGTACATGTTCTAAAAGCCAAAATATATACATACAAATTAAACAATATACAATTGGCAGCCCCGTCAAAAGAAATAATAAGAGGGATGACACGAACCAGCTTGGTTTACAAATTCTAATAGAATCTTAACGNCATTCTGGTCCGTGACACTAATATTATGAAAAAGTTAAATAGTTCCATCCAGTGTGACTGGTTAAGGTTTTCTTATTTCAGATATTCATGCCCCTACATGTTTCGGTCTTCAGAGAGACATCTTTACATCAATACAGTTAGAAGCCACCATTACAGTACATGTTCTAAAAGCCAAAATATATACATACAAATTAAACAATATACAATTGGCAGCCCCGTCAAAAGAAATAATAAGAGGGATGACACGAACCAGCTTGGTTTACAAATTCTAATAGAATCTTAACGAACTAACTATAAATATTTTAAAGTATTGGAACAGCCGCTGTAGTTGTAAAGACTTTGGATTTTACAGCCAATTGTATATTGTTTATATTGTATGTATATATTTTGTCTTTCAGAACATGTACTGTAATGGTTGCTTTTAACTGTATTGATGTAACGGTGTCCCTCTGAAGACCGAAACAAATGAGGGCGTGAATAATTGAAATAAGAAAATCTTAACCAGTCACACTGGATGGAACTATTTAACTTTTTCATACTTTAGACTTGGTTAACATGAGTGTGAAAATACTGTTAATGTAGAACTCAACAAACTTAATCAGAATTACTTATCTTTTACCTTCAGCACTGGGTTTTGTCTTTATCACCTATTATTATTATAATCTGAAATTTCTTCCACATCTACTATATAACAATTGATAACACCAGACAAGAATGAATGAAGTCAATTCTATTCCACTTCTTTTAACTGAAGGTTGACATACCACTTTTGCTGGTGTTTGTTCTTCTTGTTCTTTCCCTCTTCCTCATCTTTCATGTTTATATCTTATATATATAATCCTCCTCTGACTGACTTCTGTCACTATATGCAAGGATCACATTCATGTATGACACTCAATAAGGCAGTTGTACCTTTCCTTATAGCTTAAAATCGAGACAAACTCATCCTTGAAAACATTATATGTGATGTTATGATTCCGATATTTATTTTCTCCTGCAAACCCCTAATAAACTCAGAACCTAAGCATTTTATATACATGTTCAGTGCTTAAAGATCATTATGAATTTGGAACATCCACATGAAAATGTTATCCTATTTATAACTTACACAAAAAACGAATGTTAATACCCTCTCCAAGTCAGTTTCAATGAGTCTGTAGCAATGCCAATCGAGGTACCACATGACAGTTTGCTGGTGGGTGTAGGCATACACATTTGTATGCGTGCATTGCTAGTTCTACTTAAAAATGAATGCAGCAACATGAAACTGCTTTATGTAAAATTTCAAGCTTTCATGGTGAACACATGCCCTTCTTGTATGGTCAACTATGTCATGGTTGAGCTAAAACCAACATTTGAGAGACTTGCTGTGTCTTCATCAGGATCAGTAGTTATGATGAAGTCATCTAAACACTGGATTTTACTACATCATAACACAGTTACTCATGGGAGATTTTAATACACGAAACTTCTTTGTTCATGAGTGCAGAAATGAAAATTATTTCCTTGATACCCAATGAATTAAGCCAATAAACTATATGACAGCAAACTTCTGGTACAAACTATGTACATACATATTTTCGATAATATTATTTAATTTTGTCTGTTTCATCTACCTCATGACAAAAGGAAAAGTGGTATTTTTTGAAGTCCTAATTTTATGCCATTGTAATATTTGAGCAAGAAACTAATACTTCATTTCTTTGTTTCAACAGCCATTCACAAATTGGACATACTGAATCTCATGATCCATGCATTCAACTCTGTGTTGATGGTAACAGATCTGTTCCTCGCAGCCCATCCATTCAGACTGCTACACTGCTACTGGCCACTCCTTGTTACAGTTTGCTATATAGTATTTAGTTACATTTATTATGAATTCGGAGGTACANGTGTGTATACCGCCTAACAACTTCTGAATGCCTGAACCAATCTTTATGAAACTTGGTATGTATATCATGGCAACTGAGCCCATCTCAATGGTGCACTTCATACATTCCTCCCATCAGTCTGTGTGCCTGTATGTGTGTATGTGTATGTGTTCCTACAGCAACAAATACACATAACTTTAGAAAAACTGTTGAATGCATCATTTCCTATGCTGTCTGTGTTGTATCAAAAGAGGGTCTGTCGGTCTATCTGTTTATCCCCCTACTCTTGGTAGGTAACGGAATAGAATCTGTGACCTTCCAGCTCATAGTACAGTGCCTCAACCAACTATGCTACCATGTGACCCCAAGGAAATCCTATAAAATTTTGGAATCTTTCTGTTCTTTTTAATACATAAAACACAGATGGCATGGAGATCACATAAGCCTACTTCAGGAAAGTAGGCTAGCAAGAGAACTGGACATAAACTTGGAAGGGTAATGATGATGATAGCACATACAATGCATTCATAATTTTCCGTTTTCAGTGGCAGAGAAGACTGAGCGTCCATCCAGTCTATTTAACTTACCGGTGGTTCACAGCAATCCTCTTTTTGGCCACAATGATCTTCTCTATCTGTGATCCAGGCCGAAGCAATAAGAATCCAGGTTCATGGTACATTAGCAGGTGGCCCATATACCTCACCCACTGGGGGTATACTGTGTGCACAACACAAGCTCTACTTGGGGCATGGCTTCTCAGTTACAAGCTGATTGCAGAACGGAAGCCAGGTAAGAGTCACAACAGATCTGAAACAATAAACAACAAATCACCAATTTTAAACAGCAACATTTTCCATGATATGTGCATGTTTGCAGTTTATTAAATGATGCTGTCTGTAACTCACACTACATAGCAACAAATGATAGGACAGTCAATTAATAACAGATTGCAAAGGACTTGCCAGCATTTGCGTGGAAAGACTGAGAAATGCCATGAAAACCCTCAGACGGGGAAGCTGAAATCCCAGCAGAGCAACTCCAAAATACACATTGGAACCATTACCTCATGAGCTAACTTGATTGGTTCATGATGTGTATTGTAACTTACTTCAATAATGAAAGTGTTACATCTCATCTTAAAATAATCTGAATGTTATTTTGTTCGATATAGCTAAGTCACTATAGTGACTGGCATATGAGGAATCAGGGTTCAATTCCCAGCAGTGGCAAAAGATTTCTCTTTTTTCCACAATGTTCAGACCAGCTCCAAGGCCCACCCACCTCCCTATCCAATAGATACTATGGGCTCTTGTTCCAAGAGTAAAGCAGCCAGGGAGGAGGTTGAAGCTTAATTAATTAATCACAGGCACCATTAATGTGAACAAATGGTCATACTGATTACATATCAAGAGTTATGCATTTTTATCTATTATCATTTCACAATTTTATGTATCAAAATGAATGTTAAAGAAAGAGGATGTGAGGGTATGGACTGGATTCATCTGGTTTATGATAGGTATTGGTGGAGGAATCTTATAAACATGGTAATGAACTGTTTAGTTCCATAAAATGTTGAGAAACTGCTGATTAGTTGAGCAACTAGAGGCTTCCAATAAAGACTCAGCTCCATGCATTTAGTTACTTAAAGTTACCACAGATACCATATCCAGAAGTCAACAAATGTCAGTTCAGTTGACAAGTCAGACAAAATTCCTACTTGCCAGACATTTCTCCACAAAACAAATGCATCTACCCACGCCATCCAAATTGCTGTGCACCAGCCTACTTACTGTGACCCATCAGAAGACATTTAAATAATGTCCCTTATATTAAGTAGCATATATACAAAATATCATTTAATGTTCAAATTCACTCTTCAACGTCTATGAAGAAATCATTAAAGAGACAGAAAGGAGATAATACACAACAAATTCTATGATCCTTCTGCTTATAAGCTTTGGTTTTTCACTTGTCACAGATGAGCAGACAAATGGATTTATTAAACCACGACAATATACACAAAAAAGAGGATGTTTCTTAAAAAGAAGTTGGCAACTGAGTTAAAATATTGTGTTACACCCCACACTATAAAGAAGTTGAGGTGATGAATCATGTGATAGAATCTGTAAGAAAATTAAGGTCTTTTAAGCAATTATTATACTTCTCACAAATGTTTCCAAAGTTCTAATAGCTTCTGGGAGAATTCACATTACCATCAGCTACAATTTGATCTAAAATTTATATTTCATACATAACAAAGTATAACAATTAAAGATAAGACAAAGTGCAAGAAGACAGGACCCCTTAAAGAGAGAGGAAGGCACAGGTGTAGATGGTAACACAATTGCAATACATGGGCATCAGAATGAGCTTTGCTTGTGGAGGAAGAAGGAAAAATTGTGAGGTTTCCATGACAGAGAATATTAAGATTATGATGAAGCTGTGTGGTATGGTAAATAAGTACCAACGTTTTGGAGGAACCTACAGCCTCCATTTTCAGTGCAGAAGATGGAGACAACATGTTCTTCCAAAACACTAGAACCTGCTTACCACACTATATGATGTCACATTACAAAAGACACATAATCTATAAATAATATATAGCAGACAACATGAGGTTTTCTTCTGTCTATCACTTCTTTACTGCCACTGGTAGTTTAATTACTGGTGCTGAATCATGTCTTTTCTTGCAGATTTCAGAACAAATGATTCTGAGATGCCCTTCAGTTATAAAGTTTACTGGGCTCTAAACACAACAGGCATTGTTTTGGCCCTTGACATCACAGTTGGATATTGGTTCACAGTATATGATCCAGGCGAGTACATTCAGAAAAGAGGAGCTATAAAATAACATTTTCTACCTCACTGATACATTAAGTCAGCAATTACATTGTACAGCACAAAATAATACGATTTCAATGATTGCTTGTTCAGGTTACAGAAATGTTGTTGGAAATGTTCTATCATCTACTGTTTTCTTTGATTAGCAACATTTACAGTTGCTTTGAAAAATATGAAAAATTTAATAATCTCTCAATGATTGGGATTGGAGAGTGACAAGTGTGCAGCTGTAGGTTAATTAATGCCTAATGTCCCTCTGCCATTGATCAGGAGATTGCCATGCCATGTACTGATCAGATGAAAAAGAGCAACAGCCTATCCAGCAGACTAATTTATGGTTTTGTTGAGTTTTGACCCTTATCCATGAAAATGGTGGGTGACAAAACATTTTTAAGCTCAAACTGAAATTTAGCACATTTAAATTTTAAAAGAATCACATAACTTTCTTTAGAAGAGAGAAAAAACTATTTGTTTTGTCATACAGTGTTGTCAATAACACAGCCACCAGCTTTACCTGTGAAGAATAAAAAATAAATTATTTTAGACTTTGATTTGTTTCATTCTGGTCCGTGACACTAATATTATGAAAAAGTTAAATAGTTCCATCCAGTGTGACTGGTTAAGGTTTTCTTATTTCAGATATTCATGCCCCTACATGTTTCGGTCTTCAGAGAGACATCTTTACATCAATACAGTTAGAAGCCACCATTACAGTACATGTTCTAAAAGCCAAAATATATACATACAAATTAAACAATATACAATTGGCAGCCCCGTCAAAAGAAATAATAAGAGGGATGACACGAACCAGCTTGGTTTACAAATTCTAATAGAATCTTAACGAACTAACTATAAATATTTTAAAGTATTGGAACAGCCGCTGTAGTTGTAAAGACTTTGGATTTTACAGCCAATTGTATATTGTTTATATTGTATGTATATATTTTGTCTTTCAGAACATGTACTGTAATGGTTGCTTTTAACTGTATTGATGTAACGGTGTCCCTCTGAAGACCGAAACAAATGAGGGCGTGAATAATTGAAATAAGAAAATCTTAACCAGTCACACTGGATGGAACTATTTAACTTTTTCATACTTTAGACTTGGTTAACATGAGTGTGAAAATACTGTTAATGTAGAACTCAACAAACTTAATCAGAATTACTTATCTTTTACCTTCAGCACTGGGTTTTGTCTTTATCACCTATTATTATTATAATCTGAAATTTCTTCCACATCTACTATATAACAATTGATAACACCAGACAAGAATGAATGAAGTCAATTCTATTCCACTTCTTTTAACTGAAGGTTGACATACCACTTTTGCTGGTGTTTGTTCTTCTTGTTCTTTCCCTCTTCCTCATCTTTCATGTTTATATCTTATATATATAATCCTCCTCTGACTGACTTCTGTCACTATATGCAAGGATCACATTCATGTATGACACTCAATAAGGCAGTTGTACCTTTCCTTATAGCTTAAAATCGAGACAAACTCATCCTTGAAAACATTATATGTGATGTTATGATTCCGATATTTATTTTCTCCTGCAAACCCCTAATAAACTCAGAACCTAAGCATTTTATATACATGTTCAGTGCTTAAAGATCATTATGAATTTGGAACATCCACATGAAAATGTTATCCTATTTATAACTTACACAAAAAACGAATGTTAATACCCTCTCCAAGTCAGTTTCAATGAGTCTGTAGCAATGCCAATCGAGGTACCACATGACAGTTTGCTGGTGGGTGTAGGCATACACATTTGTATGCGTGCATTGCTAGTTCTACTTAAAAATGAATGCAGCAACATGAAACTGCTTTATGTAAAATTTCAAGCTTTCATGGTGAACACATGCCCTTCTTGTATGGTCAACTATGTCATGGCTGAGCTAAAACCAACATTTGAGAGACTTGCTGTGTCTTCATCAGGATCAGTAGTTATGATGAAGTCATCTAAACACTGGATTTTACTACATCATAACACAGTTACTCATGGGAGATTTTAATACACGAAACTTCTTTGTTCATGAGTGCAGAAATGAAAATTATTTCCTTGATACCCAATGAATTAAGCCAATAAACTATATGACAGCAAACTTCTGGTACAAACTATGTACATACATATTTTCGATAATATTATTTAATTTTGTCTGTTTCATCTACCTCATGACAAAAGGAAAAGTGGTATTTTTTGAAGTCCTAATTTTATGCCATTGTAATATTTGAGCAAGAAACTAATACTTCATTTCTTTGTTTCAACAGCCATTCACAAATTGGACATACTGAATCTCATGATCCATGCATTCAACTCTGTGTTGATGGTAACAGATCTGTTCCTCGCAGCCCATCCATTCAGACTGCTACACTGCTACTGGCCACTCCTTGTTACAGTTTGCTATATAGTATTTAGTTACATTTATTATGAATTCGGAGGTACAGACAGACAAGATCGACCAGTTGTTTATTCCCTTTTGGACTGGCGCCTGCCAATTAAAGCAGCCATATCTTCAGTCTTTGGATTACTGGTCACTCTCTCAGCCCACTGTGTCACATGGTTCCTGTTTCTAATCCGCAAGTGGATTGCTCTGTCGATAAAAAAGAAAACTGATCTCCTCACATATGAAGAAAAGAATCATACACCTTCACAAATGCAGCCAGCACTGCAAATGAATGACATTATTTGTTGATTACATCTGCTTGCTGATGTATCAGTCATCACCACTGTAACAAGTATTCAGTATTAAAGCAGTTCCTGTTATCTCTCTGAGGTCCTGTTGTGTTATGAAACACAGACTGGACTATAAAGAGGGCTAATGTACGTTAAAATAATACTTATACAGGGCTGCATTTTGAGGGAGTTGCACATTCAACTGTGTGAAATAAAGTGTTTTCTTTTCCTGGCACAATTTAGTTTGAAAGGAAAGATGTGATGACAGAGCCAGTATTTCTGTAAACAGCTTTACTGACCTGTAAATCTATGTAACATAATAGTCCCCCTCCCCATCTGGCCATTTGGAAAAAAACTGAAAGAGTAGAAAGAAATACATCAAAAATTAAAATTATTTAGAAAATGTATTCTTATGTTCTGAATACTTTAGGTTGATCTGTTAAAATATTCTTAAACTGTTTAAATATAAGTTTGTAAGCAAATTTCTTGGCTGCCCCACTTAGAAACAAATTCTTGTGGTACTAATACTGGCAACTATCATAAAGTATCTTGGCTTATAGCCTATTCTCCATTTTATAATTCTTTGTGCCTTCAGAAAGTAAAGAATTGCTTTAAAATAGCTGAAATTTCACCAGTTCTTTCAGAACACCTGACATGAAAGAACAGTGACATAAATTTCACAGACTGAAGAAGAAGTAGCTGTTTATAAACTTCCACTTAAATACCTAGTTTGTTGGCATATGTAGAAAGTCTACTTTGGATACAAGATAAAATTCTGAGATGAGAAATGAAGAGCTTAGGTACTAAACAAGAAGTTCTTGGAAGAATTAATCACCTACTTTCCTTTGATATGACATTGACCACATAGAAAAATCATGTCCGATAATTATTCTACTGTTGCATGTGTATTCGTTGCCGCAATAAAGTTTTTACCAAGCCTCTGCCTAGCAAGGATAGCGGATACATGGACTGACGGGAGGGATTTATGAAATACACCGTTCAGATTGGTCCAGGTGCCAAGGTATACATACATACAAAGATTGGTTCAGTCATTCAAAAGTTAATAAGGCATACAGACAGCATGGTGATTGCATAATATTCACTCCATATTCTTCCCACTTATCTTTGGTTTAACAATTTCAACTGCTTAGATCATATGGCATCATGGTAGTGAATAATAAATTTCAAAGGAAATTCGTTGAAGCAGTCATGGCTTAATTAGAGGTACTGTCCCAGCATTTTCCTGGAGGAAATGGGAAAACAACAAAAACCTTCAGTCAATATAGCCTGTCCCCAGCTCAAAATTTGAACTGGATCTCCAAAATATGAAAGTGTACTACCCACTGGACTGCGGCANCAAAAACCTTCAGTCAATATAGCCTGTCCCCAGCTCAAAATTTGAAAGTGTACTACCCACTGGACTGCGGCGTTTGGTCCTACCTGTAAGGAATGCAATACTGTGCACCAGAGGTTTGCTTCACCATCTAGGTATAAGTTTTTGGAAAGAATTTTTAACAAAATTATGAGTACGGTCAGAAAATTTAAGATCTATATGTCTTGCAACCATATTCCACGAGCAGTCCATGCATATAATTTCCACTTTACTGTATTGATAGCAACTGACATCTAGTGACACCTGTCATTGTCTGACATGAGCATACTGTTAGCATAGATGCAGCTAACTGATATAGGTTGTCTGGTGGTTGAGATTAGCAGTTTTTAACAGATACAACAGAGTATGTCCTTCCCTATTCTTCTACCTGAGGAGAGGACAGATCCAGCATATGAGATGTGTTATTTTAAATACCATATGCTGGACAAAGTCCAGAAACTCAGTAACCCTGAATACAGTATCTGTAGTGTAATAATAGATTTTTATTTACAATAACTGAACATGAAGGCCATTTATATATGCAAAGTTACAGATAACGTACTTAGAAAACACATTTACTCATAGTTGCAGCGTACCTTTCCACTATGGAAGAGTTCATAATGTTGTATTTTAGCGTCCTGTTGCACTGATTCTCGTCCATGATATGTATTGTATTGGCCATCTTGTAGTGCACTCAATCTCATGTCACTTCACTACATGTTTCAGCATCACGTAAATAACGTAAATAGCACATATGAGGATAGCACAGTGATGCCAAAACATGTAGTGAAGTGACATGTGAGATTGAGTGCACTACAAGACGGCCAATACAATACATATCATGGTTTAGTTCAGTAAATCAATTAAAATATTCCAGCACTGATATTCTAAACTGGTTTAAAGGGCAACCACTGAAAATACATAGCATAGGGTCTCAGAGAATTCTGATGCAATAAAACAACAATTGTCTCAAAATAACACACATTTCTCAGAGTAAAATGGTTCAAATATAAAATTTGTAATGCACAGATATTGTGTTTACATTAATTTAAAATTACATTTATATTTATATTAATACAGAATTGAAGTACTGTACTTGTGACATTAATAGATATCAAGACAGATACTTAGTAACATTCTGCTAGATCAGAAATAAAAAAATATTTGTACTGAAATACCAAAAAAATGGCCATGCCTGATGTAAGTGACCTTAAATATGATACTGTTTGTTGAAATTCAAGTGCAAATGTTTCTAAAAATACATATCTGTAACTTCTGAATGCAGTGAAACTAGCTTGTACGTGAATATCAATGTTAATATGTTTAAGAAAATGAAGCCAATGTGGACAAGTGGATATGCTACAAATATTTTAGGCCTCCATTCTTACTCACTTAATTTTCTCGTGTGTTCCTTCTTCACGGATTACTTACTGCAGTTAACACAACTCATTTTACCCCTCCAAGACTCCTTTAAATGGTACCCTCCATGCCTCTGTGGCTATGTTCAAACAGCAGCAATTCCCTGCTGTTGCAATGTTATCATGTTTGGCATATATCAATAAACAAAATCCATTCCTTGGTCAAAGAAGACTACAGAAGGGAATAACGCTGCCATCTGTTGATGACAAGACTAAATACTAGCACAATCTTCAAAATGTCTTGGAGATGGTGTCAGTTGGCAATAGTCTACAGTGTGTTTCAGTACAATCATATCATGTTCAGGTACAAATTCTGTGGCATGGCATTCTGCTTCAAGGACTATACACATGTACTGGACATGCATAATACCTCTCTTGAAGATGAATTTATAGCATCAGAACAAGAGAATAAAGACAAATGAAGATTATTATGGACTTATAGGATGAGACACCATGTACTTCAGTACAAAGGTAGCAATGCTTCAGAGGAACCCACTGCCTCCATCTTTAGGGCTGAAAAGCAAGGTGTATGCTGAAAAATGGTAAGGTTACAGGGAAAGAAGGATTAGGACCTTTGCTGTAGACGAGCTAACAGGAACCAGTGGTCCTGAGGGAGGCTGTTTTGTGGGGACAAATGCCAAGGGAGAGAAAAAATTGCAAGCCCAGGAAGAAGGGGGGGGGGAAATAAAGAGGAAAGTAAAAATAAAATAAAGACAGATATACCGCGCCATAGCTCAAGCGGTTAGTTGCTGGCTTCCCGATCCCGGGTCTGGTCAGCTGGAATTTGTGGTGGACAAAGTGGTGCTGGGGCAGGTTTTCTCCGAGTACTTCGGTTTCCCCTGCCAATCTTCCTTCCACCAATTGCCCCACAATCACCCTCACCTATCATCTGGGGCTGGTACAATAGGCCAGAAATGGCCGCAGTACAAGGGACTTAGTCCCACTCCACTAGCAATAATAAAAATAATAATAAAAAAAAAATAAGACAGATATAGCTAAATGGAAGAATATGAAGGGGAAGAAAGCAGAATTGAGTAGGAACAATGTCTGTGGAAGGGGTTCTAATATAATGGCAGGGCAAATCTAAGAGACAAGTTTGTGTTGACTGTGGTAAGAGTCTGATCAGTAAAAGCAGTATGTTATCATCAGTCTGCTTGCACTTTCTTATACACACTACTAGTTTCCTCACAGCTAACTGTTCTGATGTAATAAGCTATACACTTTACTTCTTCAAGAACAATATAAGTGGGGGAAAAGGAGGAAGGGGGGCTTCATGATATTTTGATCACCTACATGTGACACAATTTTGTTTACTCAAATTTAGAATATTTTCCACATTCTTGTGTTTATATAAACCAAAAGCTGAATGTGGAATGCTGGAAAGCTCTCTTTGCTGTAGCAATTAATGTTAAGTACTGGCTTTAATGTACGTGATAAGTGTAAACTCTATGTGATTCCTGAATGTATGCTATTCTGCAAGGGAACAATAAAGATGTGTGTTCTTGTATGTCACTTTTTCATTAAGCCTGAAGTTATGTTTTTCTGTTAGTGATTTGCAGGTCAGTAGACCACTGCTGCTTACTTTAAGCAACTTTCCCCCATTCTGAATTACTTCTTAGCAACTAAATGACAGATGTTCAAGGTAACTTCTTTGTTCCTCCCTTTCTTTTACAGTAATTAACAATAAAAATGGATGAGTGGTGAAAAGGGCATGAAAAATTGAAGTCAGTGACTGCACCACTCGGAAGCTGAGAGGCACAGCCATAGAATTAACCCCTGATACTTCGAACACAGACATATGTGACAAATTAATTCATATAGCTTCATACCTTATTTATAATTGAAGATGTTCAGTGTTATTGATTATGTCATATCTTATCTTTAAATGCCATATAAAGGCATAAATTTGTCACATTTTGATACACTCATAATTGAGTTGTACACTGTTAATTGTAATGTACAGTGTGCTGGCCGCGCCATAGCTCAAGCGGTTAGTCGCTGGCTTCCCACCGCGGCGGCCCGGGTTCAATCCCGGGTCTGGTCAGGTGGGATTTGTGGTGGACAAAGTGGCGCTGGGGCAGGTTTTCTTGGAGTACTTCGGTTTCCCCTGCCAATCTTCATTCCACCAGTTGCTCCACAATCACCCTCACCTATCATCTGGGGCTGGTACAACAGGCCAGAAGTGGCCGCAGTACAAGAGACTTAGTCCCATCCCACTAGCAATAAAAAAAACGTCAAGATTTACAGT